GAGAGACTGAGGGCGGCGGAGCCGGGCGCGGGGTCTGGGGGCAGTTCACGCTTAAGGGTCTGCGGTTCCTCTCGTCTCGGACCCACCTGCTGCATTTGCGTGGACCCGAGCGCTCCCCTCCCTTTGCCTCCTCTGCCCTTTCACCGCTTTGTGGCCGTCGCACTTTGCTCTCGTTGCATCCAGAGGGGTCACCTGAGCCTGGGTGTGGGACCAAGCTCTGAGAGTTTTTCCGGATCCCGGAGCGCGCATTAGATGAGGGGCTTTTTGTTTTTGTTTTCCTAATAATGAAACAAAAAGTCTTTTTCAAACCATTCTAGGCCTCCCAGTACACTTGAAAATGACACCTTCCCCTTCCTTTCAACCCGTTCCTATAAAAAAGAATCAATACCTCTAAATACTCCTTGCTTAGAAGCCAGAGCAGCAGCAGGTGGGCCTGAAGGGCAAGTCCAAAGGGCGTTGCCAGTGCTCCGGCCAGCTAGGAAATCAGTCTAGGCGAACAGCATTGTTCATTCATTCATTTATTCTTCCAGCAAACATTTCTTTATTATTTTAAAATATATCTTTATTGATTTGAGAGAGAGGAAAGGAGAGGGAGAGAGAGAGACAGAAACATCAATGATGAGAGAGTCATTGATCGAGCCCGCAACCCCAGCATGCGCCCTCACCGGGAATCGAACCCTGATCGCCTGGATCCTAGGTCAACGCTCAACCGCTGAGCCATGGCCGGCCGGGCAGCATTTCTTGATGGTCCTGTACTGGGGGCAGAGGGGTGAATAAAGCTCTGGTGCTGCTTGCATTGTAGTGAGGGAGTTGACAACCAATGAACTCTGAACTCCAAACTCAGGAGTGGTCGTGAGTGCCCTTGAAGAAAAGTCTAGCGTGGTGAAGGGATGGAGAGATTGACAGAGAGAAGTTGCTTCTTCAGAGACTCCTCAGGGAAGGACTCTAATAGATGGTGTTTAAGTACAGACCTGAATGGAGTGAATGAAGGAAGAATGTTGCAGGAAGAGGAAACAGCAATTGCAGAAGCTCTTAGTTGGGAGCATGCTTGTGTGGTAGCAGCAAGGAAGCCAGTGTGGCTGGAGTAGAGTGAGAGAGCAGGGGCCAGAGCCAGGGGCAGCTTTAGACTTCCTAGGACTTCCCTCATTTACAACTTGGATGGGACCCCAGAGTAGGATTAAGGGGCAGGCCAGCCAGGCAGCAGCCTGGGTCTAAAAGGACACTAAATTATTCTTGGAGTAATTCAGACATTTGGTGCCAGTGAACTCTGATTTCTGTCTATGTCTCTTGGTAAACTACAAGTTGGCTCCCATCCACTGAGAGATCCTTAACAACTGCTTACCTGGACAGCCTGTCTCCGGAATAATTTTGCAACGTGCAGGTACAGGTATAAGTTGCACGGTGTAGCCCTGTGACCAGATTTTAGTTGCCTAAAGGCAGCAGTCACAGCTGGAATTCTGAAAATGCACAATACACTGTGAACTGCCACTCCCTGAGATTTATGCTGTATCTACATTTAAAAAAATATTTAAAAATTGATTTTTAGAGAAAGGAAGGGAGCGGGAGAGAGAGAGAAACACCTATGTGAGAGCGCAACTTGGATGGGCTGCCTCCTACATGCCCCCCACTGGGTATCAAACCCACAACTCAGGCATGTGCCCTGACCAGGAACTGAACTGGCAACCTTTGGGTGCACGGGATGACGCCCAACCAACTGAGCCACACTGGCCACGGCTGTATCTACATTTTATTTGTTTATTGTTTATCCTCACCCTGGGATATTTTTTCCATTGCTTTCCAGAGAGTGGAAGGGGGATGGTGGAAAGAGAAACTTTGATGTGAGAAAGACACATCCACTTGTTGCCTCCTGCACATGCCCCAACCTGGGCCAGGGATTGAGCCTGCAACTGAAGTATGTGCCTTGTCCAGAATAGAACTGGAACTCTTCAGTCCATAGGCCGATGCTCTAACCACTGAGCAAAACCGTCCAGGGATGAATCTACATTAAAAAAATTATTATCCTTTATTAACGAAAATAAGTTCACATATAGACTAAAAAGCCACGAAAAAGCACTTGTGTGACCATTTGTAAAATTACACATTACAATTACTTAAGAAGTGTTCCTCTACTTGTGATTTAATGATCTCATAGCTGGGCTTGCTTTGTTTTTCAAAAATAGATACTAATAATTTAGCAAATATGGATGTGCAATTATTTTATTCACTTAGGGATGAGTTGTCTATACTTTCTCATATATTCCTTATTTTTTTTTTTTTACAATCACATCAAATAATGCTCATTGCTTCTATCTGTGACTACTATGAAGATACATCAGGATTTTAATAAACTGACATCATAGTTTTCTTAGAGTATTTGGAAAAAGTAGTTAAAATACATAATGTCCCTATGTCTTACATTAATGCAGTAAAATGTGCCCTGCATGGTGACATACAACAAAGCTCTAAGTCAACCACAAACTACATCTCCATTGAGATTGTCTTCATACTTCAATGGAAAAGTAGATATGAGTGAAACCCACCTTATAGACCAGCGCTCACAGATCTTTAAGGCAGCAAGAATCAATCCCATGATTTCACACACCAGGAAGAAAAACAGAGCAGTATAAAGTAATATGAGAGTGGAATCACATTAATATTTCCTTCTTAAAGTATCTCAAATACTGTCAATATAAAATAGGATACGTTCTAAGTAATTATACATCTCCAAACATCTATCCCCTTGATATTTTGAAGCACACTAGGAAATAATTATCTAGTTTTTTAAACTTTGGAAAATTTTTTATAGTAAGTATTCTGATTTAGAGTAATACCTGAAAACTATTAATTAACATTCAACTGTGAATTCTCTAATATTCTAAAATTAATTTTCAATTACATACTCTCCTAAATTTTTTACGTCTTTTAAGTTACTTTCAGGCATGAATTATTTGGGCTTTTGTGAAATGTATATTTTGGACAAAAGTTTCTCATTCTTTACTATGAACTTAAGTTCCTCCCCACTGTGCATTTCCTGATATGGAAATGAGGGTGTAGGTCCAGCTACATGGTTTCCTACAATCTTCCTTCTTAAGGTTTTGCTCTACTATGAATTCTCACATGTCGAATAAGCTGTGAATGCTGAAAGAAGGGTTTTCCACATTCTTTACATTTGTATTGTTTCTCTTTATGTATCTATGTTTTATTTTATTTTTATTTATTTTAAAAAATATATCTTATTGATTTCAGAGAGAGGAAGGGAGAGGTAGAGAGAGAGATAGAAACATCAATGATGAGAGTATCATTACTGATCATCTGCCTCCTGCAGGGCCCCAACTGGGGATGGAGCCCGCAACCCGGGAATGTACCCTGACCCAAAATGAACCATGATTTCCTGGATCCTAGGTCGATTCTCAATGGCCGAGTCATGCCCGGCCAGGCTGTATCTACATTTTACATGGTTTAATAGGCCTACTAAGAAGTTGTCTGCTTCAGAAAGTGTATGTAATGAATTCATGTAATAAGTTCTAATTTTGAATAGAAAGAATGAGGCTAATAGTAGGGGAAAATTATATTCCCGTACTTTTGCTAAGTAAACATTCAACAAATATTTGAATAATCTTGTTTTGGAATGGTGCCAACTCAGTAGCCCTGTGCCAGGGCTTTACCAGTCCCCCTTGGCTGGCCTTACTTGGCAACACACACACCACCTGTACCACCTGGGGACCTGAGTTATGAGCGGGCTTGCTTAGCGTTTAGTTTTAGGCGTGTACTCCATTGTACCCCCACAAGTGACATTCCTTGGCATGCATTGCCTTACGTAGGGGCTGAAATGGCACTGAGACTCTAGAGGTGGGGCCACAGAGGGCCATTATTGCCCTAACCATGGGTCCTATGCCCTCCGCAGGACCAATGATAGTATGAGTGGGAGATGCATAGGAAATGGAATTAGGGGGAGGAGTTGTAAAGGGCATGAGAAGGGCACTGTAAGTCCCTGGGAGAGCGTCAGCGCTCAGTAACTGTAGGGCGACAAGGAAGTTAGGGGGCTGAGGGAAGAGGAGGAGCCTAGAGGCAGGGTCCTGTGGGTCCCAGCTCCAGCCCATTCCCCTGGCCCCTCCCCGCGGCCGCCGCTGGCCGGAGTCACACACATACATGTTTTCCTGGTTTTCATTTCTGTCCCGGCACCGTCTGCCTTTTCTGCTCCTCAGAGTCAACAGCTGCTGCAGCTCCAGCCATACCCTGGCGCCCCTTCCTAGCACCTTGCCCTCCCCTGAGCCCCCGTGCTGGGGGCCCCTCCTCCTCGCACCTGCCCGAAGGTCACGGGACAGGTAAGAGGTGGGAGACTGGGGGCGACGGGCGAGAGGGGAAGTGCAGGAGGATGGAGTGAGAGCCCTGAAGATGGACTGAGTGGGGGACACTCAAGAGCCTCTTGTTTCCTGGTCCCAGCTCTGACCCTCCCTAGGCAGAGCCCTCTGCCCAGAGACGTCAGCCCTACATTAATGGAAGCCCTGGCCACAGACGTAAACAATTTCTTGTTTCACTTTTTTTTTTTTTTTTTTTTTTTT